GGGGGGGGAGATGGGGGGGAGGTGCAGAGAGGATGGGGAGGGACCCCCAACCCCAGCATACAACAGCTGCATTCTGGAGTTTACATGGGCTGAACTAATAGCGAGTACGTACTGCCTTTGGACACAGCCTTGCTGAACAGAAGCAAAACTGCAGTGATCTGTGACTGAAACTTGGAGAGCTTTTATGCCAAGCATGCCTATTTCTGCCTTCTTAGGGTTTCTTTGGGGTTGACTGATGAGATTTTGGAACAAAGGGGGTTAGAAGTGACCACAAAATGTAGTTGTTTATCGATTAACTTTCTGTAGCTTGGTTATCTGCTTCAAAAATTTGTATTTAAACATGAAACATTAATACAGAGAAAAAAATAAAAATCATATGTCCAAAACGACAAAGTGCTATTGAAATTTCACGTGGCACAGGCTCAGCTGTGTTTGAGGGAAATGGCCATGCTTTTAACAGACTCTCACTGTGACAGCAGCTGCCTCAAGGCATTTTGTAGTTAGGGACAACAATTACACTTCTGTATTATTTTTGTAATCGTTGGTTCCAGGAGTCTAACAAAATACGCTTTTCATGGCCATTGTCACCCAAGGGCTCTGCGTGTGTGTACAGTAAATATCTATATCTCATCTGTTTGAGCAGCAGTGGGTACTGCTGTAATGGCTGCAGCGCCGTGGGGCTGTGCATGGGTGTGTCGGAGTGAACAGTTCCCAGCACATCTGTGAGACCTGAAGCACCCTCATTGCTTTTCTTACTAAAATTGTCTGTCCGTTTTACCAAAATGCTTTTGCTAAATTTGGGTACATGGATAAAGCACTTAGAGAAACGACAGGGATACCGTAGGCAAATAAAGTTTGTCTGAGATGTGTTTAAAGCCTTGGCTTCCTCCAAGTCTGTATTCTGTGTAAGTGTTGTAAGTATTTAGTTACTGGCTGCTCAACTGATTTCTCCTTTTATGAGCTTCCAGGAGTGTCCTAAAGAAGCAGGGTCTGCACTGACTCTAGGAGTAATGAATTTTTACAGTGAGACATAGCAGAAAAGCCCATCATCTAGTCTTCAGCATAGTTACAAAAACCATGTCAAACTTCGCATATGCCCCACAGGGGAAAGTTTCTTTAATGGCTTAGCAGGGTATTAGACTATAGCTAGAATATATTTTAGTTGGTATGCAATACATTCCAGCATGACTTTGTAGTCAGTAATGACTTCAAAACAGCAGTTGATGGTGGTTTTTATTTTCTGTTTCAATCCAGTGCTCTTGGTGTCTGTCATAGAGTAGTGACCATTGCTGCTGAGAAACACCTTGCTTGAAGACAAAATTCAGATCTGCTCCTAAATTGGAATTTTAATTCTTTTGACACAGAATTGGGGAAAATTAGGAGGGACCTGGGATTGCTGTTAATGTGGTTACTGAAGGGAAGGTGAGATATAGAGAGCAGCTGAAAAACTAACTCATCCTTAGTTCTGTGCTGTTGTGACCATGCTGTCACTGACATGTGAGCAAGGTATACTCATGGTATCGACGTGACTTTTGTTGTCTAAGGAGTCTGGATCCAGGAGAATACAGATGCTGATGTCTTGGTTAATGATGATTCTGGGGGAGACTTCCCCCTGTGAGCAATTACATACTTGTGAAAATATTTCTCTCAAAGTTTTCCTTGATTAAGTGAATCCTAGAATTTTGACCCCCAAACTGGAAGAAGCTGGAATAGAAGTACTATTAGAGATTAAATGAAAAGAGACATGAGTCCACCAGTGGGAGGGAGCAGTTTAGCTATTAGCACTGAAGAGGTTGCCAGAGTCTCAGTATGAGGTAAGGCTCTGAGCCAGGGCTACTGTACCTATTGGTCAGTCACAAAGGAAGGGACCTGCCTGCCTCTTGGCTTATATATCCATCAGGTAAATTTGTAAATGAAGCAGTTTGAAGAAGCTCTTTGTGCTAGTTTATTTTCATTTAGTCCTTACAGTGTGTATCTTGGCTATTTTCCCAAAGCTGCAAAGTAACTAGACTATTAAAGTTCACTTGAACTTCCACCATCGTGTAATGGAAAGGCTATATAGCTGCCCTGGAAATACTCTCACACACAGAGCCAACAAACCATGGCAGAGGATTGTCTTGCAGTCTTTAGAGAAATAGTTGTTGATTTTTTAGTTCGTCACAATGCAGAACCATTACCTTGAAAACAGGAAGTCAGAGAAAGGCTTAATGAGGAAAGATAGCATCATACAATTGAGGAAGAACTTTTAAAACTAAATGCTTTTAAAACCACTGGTAGCTCTAGCCAAGGTTAAGTGAAATGTTCTCCCATACCTGGTGTGTCTTTCTTTCCAGAACAGTTCCCATAACTTTTATAGGCCAGGACTTGAAGACCATGTTAATATTGCAGTTATTCATCTAGCATCAAAACATGCGTGAAGTTCTACTGCAGCAAGAATTTGCCAGCAGGATGAGATGTCCTGAGATGCTGATAGGCAGTTATAAACAGCAGGGAGAAATGTCAACTCATTACTGCTTAAATATGTCGACTCATTACTGCTTAAATACTTGTAGAGAAGATCAGTTCTCAAAAATTTTCATAAAGGGGTAAAAAAAATGCTTTCCTTGAAGGACAGCTGCCATTTCAAATGAAAGAACTTATGGAAGACAGCAGAAAAATATAGTGAGGAAAAATGTAGATCTCTAAGGGATGTTTGGCTGTATGGCAAGGAGCATGGTGGATTGCAGGGAAAAACTAAAGTTAGTTATGTAGGCAGAATGAAGTCTTGAGGAATTTAAGTTAGAGAAGAAATCTGAAATGTATCCAAGCAAGAACCTAATGTAAACCTCTGCAGACATTTCCACAAATTTGGATAGCAACCGTCAGGAACAATGGAAAATAAATGAGGAATAAAAAAGATAGCAGCAGCAATCAAGTTAATGTGTAATAGGAGTGGAGCCTATGGGTATGTGAAAAGTTAGGAAAAGTAAAAACTGCGTTGCTGACATGGTGGAGGAAAAAGCTCTGCTGAGGTCTGTGGGATATCAGTTAATTGAAAAGCAAAGGGCAAACAATGTAAGATGGCAAAGTTCTTGCCAGAGCAGAGAGGATATTCAGAGGGAGTCGCTAGACAGCAGCGGTAATTAGGTTTGAAAATAGGTTGCTAAGAGACATTGTTTTTAAGGACAGATTAGATAAGAACAGACTAGATAAACACCTTTAAAGGACAGTTTAGGTATTGCTGGTTGTGCTACTGGGTAAGAAGATGGAGTAGAAGACCTCTAGTAACTCTTTCTTCTTTGATGAAAGGATAATTTTAGTTTTGAATGTTGCTGATTAGTAGTGGAATACATTGTAGAGAAGCAGGGAAAACATGATGTGGAGCTTCTTATATAAGGAGAGGATAAGTCAGTGGAAGAACTAAAAAGTTTTTTGGAATTCCAGAAATGCTGTAAGAAGGCTTCTCCGTTTGCTTTCTGGTATTCTTGCCTCTCATTTCTGTTCCTACACTAATGGATAAGGGTTTGACAATACAGTCAAGATAGAAGATGACAATTCTGAACTTTGTATGACATGTATTCCATTATTTACAAAACATTGGGTTTTGTTTTGGTTTTTTATTAAAGAGAACCCTATGCAAGAGAGCAATGGAAGGTGTTTTGCCAAACTCTCCTCTAAAACTGCTTTTTCCAGCACTAAGGCTAAATGTACATAGTTACCTGGTAACTGTAACTTAAGGGAGAGGATAATCATGAAACAAACATGACCCACCACAGTAATCTTGCCTACTTTGAAAACAATACAACCTTGTACTGGAACAATTCATGGTGTTCAAAACACGTGTCATTTTACTGTCAGCTGGTAACTGAGAGCATACTTTATTGAATTTCATTTTTCAGGACTAAATTGAATTCTTAGGCTAGAAAAGTTCAAAATTCCAGTTGAAGGACAGCAAAGTGACAGGAGCAAGACACAGGTTGGGTTTGTCACCAAGACATCTCTGATACATACATCATGGTTGTTACCAAGTAAAACCCACATGCACAATCTGTGTTTCTCTTTGCCTTTACCTGTAAGGGTTTCTTCGTGATATATCAGGTGGTTTGGACTGTTCTCCATGAGTTATCAACAACTGTACACATGAAGCAATGTTGGCGTGGCTGCTAGTCATTTTCCAGACTAGCCCAGAAGTTCATCAGCTGTTAACATGCAGTTGTCTCTCACTCCCAGGGATGTAATAATCATTTCAGAGCCATCAGAAACTGTAGTTATCAGTAACCATTATGGCTGCTGCTAATACCGGTGGCAGGGAGGATTGTGTCAGTCCTGAATGTGTATTGGTTTCCTCCCCGCCAAATCACAGGCCTCCCTACAGTGGCATCAGCAGTAGTATCAGTAGCAGCTGGCTGTGATTTTCCTCCCTTGCCATGGCTGCCGGAGCTGACCCCACCCAAGGGACGGCAGAGCAACTCCTCATAGAGTGAGTTGGCAGGCAGTAATGTGAAATGGCAGCTGAGGGAAAAAGGGGGTTTCCTTGGAGAATCTTTTCAGTCAGACTGAAAGTTCAGCTAATTGCAACTTAAAG